ATGAAGTCTAAAGGTGATATGTCTGAGAATATCTAGATCAGAAGTTCCCAAACTGTTTTGTCTCATAATTAAATTAGTATAATTTGGTACCCCTTAAATTGTTTTTTCAGTTTTGGGTCCACCCCTACTTACCTCATATTGAAGTTTTGAAAATTTATAAGTGTAAATGTCTTTTAAGGCTGGTAAAGAATTATTTTTTTTTAAAATATTTGAATTTCTAGCTGCAGTAAAGTATGGTGTTTAAAACTTAAGAAATACATAAAAATTAAATAAATTAAACGTTAATTAATTCTTAAAATAACTGAGAAACAAAAAAAGCTTTTAATGGGTGGGATGAATCTGAAGCTTCAGTAAAAAACTCAACATTCGACATCAATCTTGTCAGGTATAACTTAATGCTGTTAGCACTGTCTAGTCTCCCCCCGCCCCTATTTTAATGTTTTGGAAATTAACAACCACACTGAAATACCTTTTCACTAGGAAAAAAAATACAATTAAAACTTTATCAAGATGTTCCATAATTCTGTATAGATAACATGTATATATCTTTTTTAAAGTCATATTAGTTGAGTGTGTGTGTGTATTTATGTAGACTGCTTGTGTTTTAAATTTTTAATAATGTTTTGTTCATTATTTAAAAAAAAAAATCATTTTTCAGTATATTTATAAAGTTTCTAAGGAAACTATTTCAAACATGTTTGCATTAACTCATAACTCCAGATTCCCATTCGAAAAATATGATACTTAATGTTAAAGAAAAGTTATAAAGTATAAGGCAAATATTATTTTATTTATATGTCATAACGTTTATTTCACATGCTTTTTAAACTTAAGGGAAACAAATAGAAACGGAATATGAGAACTGGAATATACTTTGGAGCATGAGATAAGTAAAGAAGCATTGAAAGGTTTTAAAACGTCATTTAAAAACGTCTTTAAATGTTTTCTCAAATGTCATGAAATGCTTCTATAAATCAAAGATTTTTAAGCTTAAGAATGATCAAGTAGCAGTCGAAAACTTTGAAAAGTGTAATGAGAAATATAATCCTTCGTAAGCCAAAGCGACAAAAAAAAAGTTTTTTTTGAAGTGCTTTATATTGATATAAATCATATTTTCAGAACATTCGAAATGGTTTAAATATCCGCGCCATAATCTGTACTCGTATCATTATTTCCTCTGTAAAAAATATCATAAAATGAATAAAAAGTAAAACTATGTAAATTTTTTGAAGAATTGCATCAGCCAAACTTTATATATACTATTATTTCTTAAGAGTCAATTTTTTAGAATAAAAATCAGCAAAGTAATGGAATTTTTAATGAAACATCAAGACAAAAGACTTCTTATATGAAATATGATAGATCATTTTCTGTCTGGTTAACTATGACAAAATCGATGATATGTTAATGTCTTTTTTTATAAGTTTGCTATATTGGCTGCATAATTTTTGTCATGTTTACAGTCAGGGGAGTTAGTAGGCTACAAACCTTTGGAAAACTAATTTTGAATTTTTGATATTTGTAAAATCCCCAAAAATCGGGACCTTTCCAGAAATGTAACATACTTGCTATTTTATGTAAAGGAGTTTGTTGAAATGATTTAAAAAAATAATCAGCTCATATGTCACGGCCACTTTGACTGACAGAAATGTAAACATTGGTCTTTTAAACCTTGGAAGCTTTTCCAAAGCTATTATTAGTTTTATTTATTCATACGCAATTAACTGTAAAATAACTACAAGAGTAAATATTAGGGATGATTATTTATTTTTGGAGGGTATACGCGTTTATCGTTTATACGTTTTTGAGATTTCAATATTTGAGTGATTTCAAAATTTGAAATTTTGTCAATTCAAATTTATAGCATTAGATTTCTTATTAGTGATTATCTGAAAATGCCTAGATCGGGGAAATTATTTAAAAAGCTTAAAGGTGCGATTTATGAAGGTAGGAATACTCTCAAACATTCTATGATTCTTTCTAACAATAATGAGAGTAATATGAATCCTGAAGCTGGTCAAGATTCAGTGGAATCATGTGCAAAAGAAAAGAAAATGCCCAATTTAAGTGAGAGTTTTTCTTCTTTTGATGAAAGAATAGGTATAATTAATGCCATTATGAATTTGAATATTCTTGCATTTGTTTTCAAGATTGCAGTTCACTGTAAAATGTATAACAGTGATTTAGACATGCAAGATTTAAAAGGTAAGTTTAAACAGCTATTACGTTTATCCTGAAATGTTATGTTAGTCCATATCGTGGAGAATCCTCTTGATTAAATGTTCATGAAGGAACGCAAATTGCTGCAATAAATATCAGGTTTGTATATGCTATGCGTTCAGTTGGAAGAGGGTTAGAAGCTGTATAAATGTTTTGTAGCAAATGAATATTTCGCAAAAACTTACAAGGCTTTCTCCAAACGGTAAGCGAATTTTAAACTTGTTTACGAGAACACGATTCAAAATGCTGCAAAGAAAGCGATTTGTGAAAATCAAGGTAATAAAAATATTGCAGCAGCTGTAGATGGGACATGGAAGAAGCGCGTGTACACACCATTGAGTGGTGATGTTACTGTGGCCATCACTGATACAGATACGGTGGTAGATGTTGATATTATTTCGAAATAAAGTATTTGAAAAAAAACCTTCCTTGTCATCAAAAGGATTGTAAAAATAATTTCGTTGGATCTAGTGGATCGATGAAAATTCAAAAATTTTCAACGATCATTATCTTTGCATAATACTCGATATATTACTTACTAAGGGGATAGGGATTGCAAAGTATTTGATGCTATTAAAAAACTATCTATGAAGATGAATATCCAATAGAGAAATCGGAGTGTATTGGGCATGTAATGAAGCGCATGGGAACAAGATTACGCCAATTAATAACAATTGAAAGGACAAATCTTGTCAAACGGTAAGTGATTAAGCAGGAAAAATCGTTTGAATGAACATGGAATAGGTAACTTATGAGTCATACTATAAGTTAACTTTTTGGTGAAATCACAACAGTCTTCAGAACATGCGGTGAGCTATCTGGACCATTTTTCTGCATAAGCTGTTCAAAGACGAATATCCACAACAGGGTTTTTGTCTGGTCGGGGAATACTCATGGTGGGGTTATAAAAAGGATGAAACATCAGGTAAGTCTCACAAACATAAAAACAGTCTTTCGGTGGCTGTTGTAGAGGCAACGCGTCCTACATTTAGTGATCTGTCCCATCCTGATCTGTTGAAAAAATGTTTGCACGGGAAAACACAAAGCCGGAATGAAAGTTTTCGTAATATCATTTGGTCACGTGTTTCCGAAGTAACATTTGCACACTTTGAAACACTTTCACTTGGTGTTTATAATGCTGTTTGTTCTTTTAATGATGGTAATGTATCAAAATTAAAAATGCTTCAAAACATGGGAGTAGAATCTCGGGAACATTTAGTAAGTGTTTTGAAAATTCACAATAGGGGAAGACTATATATATATATATATATATATATAATGAAAGCAATTTTTGCGTTTTCTGAACGATCCAAGAAAATAAAAAAAGAAAGAAGGAAGAAGATAATTTTAAAAAAATAAGGCAAAAAACCGACTACAGTTCAGGATATTTTTGACGAGGTAGCATTTTGTACAAAAGCTACTGTTTTCTAATAACTATATTTTTTAAATTGTTTCGAAAAGCTCAAAACGGGAACAGCGATTGCTCAAAAAGTTTTGAAAATAATTTGTTGAAATTTTTTGTGTATGTTTTGCATAAAAGTAGAAGTCTTTTATCCTTCAGATTTATCAATCGCTGTTTTATTTCGAAATTTACAGTCCTTTATGTGAATACAATCAGTGTTTTTTAAAGCAATTTCGTGTAATCACTAAGATACAGTGCTCTGGTTTTTGTGAGAATTAAAATATCTCTTATCCTGAAGGTCATTTCAAACATGAATAACAAAGTAACATATCAAAATTGAAAAATTGAGAATTTATTCATAAAATTTTTGCACAGAGTGGACCCCGTTTAAGCAATTTTATTGTAAATTTTACCTGTTTTTTCCGTTATTTATATTAAAATGATTTTAAAAAAACTCATACTTTGATAATTTACAGTTAGTGATTTAAAAAATAAAATGTCGAAAACTTTTTTTACGAATTTTTTTTGTGCAATAATTTATTACTTTTTGTGGCACTGAATGCCTTCACTTGTCAAGCTGCTTAAGAATCGGTGAATGTCCACTTACTCGAGAGCTTTGATAGCGAGAGGGGAAGTGGAATTTCCATGACAATATGTTATGCATTTAAAAATGTTTCTGCAATGCGGGGGGGGGGGGGGGTAATAACCCGGGGTGACAAATAAAAGAAGCGAAAAAATTTCGAAACAGGGAATTTCAAGTTATACACTCGGTAAAAGCCTGAGCAACACATGGCGAAGCGGAGGAGGGGAGGGAGTGTAAGTCATTTTAAAAAAGAGCATTAGAAGTGCTGATTTTGTGAAGGAAAGGGAAAATTTATAAAAGTAGAGAAAGCCCGTGTAAAGGCGGGCCATGCAGCTAATCTTTTTAACTAATTGCGATATCGGAATATAAATGGTCAAAACATGCATTGTCATCCAAACTAAATGTGTGTACAAAAATAATAAAATAATAATTGTAGGCCCCGGGTATCGATCCCCGTACCTCTCGTAGGCTAAGAGAGTGCTCTACCATCTGAGATATGTTCCCGGGTGCTGCCCGTGTTATTGTAAACATGCTAGCCTTAAAATCTGAGCAAGATCGTTAAAGTAACTAGGTCAATTAAAAGTGTTACGGGAGAAACTAGAATCGAGTAAATAGATATCATAGAATGTTTCAAAATAGAAATAGCTTGATAGATCTGCCTTTCTTAGTGTTTCCTCTATAACAGTAAAAATATAACATACTTTGTACGTATGGTGAGTGGAAGTATTGTAAAATATCCCGTTGTACCACAAATCAAACGAATTTCAAAAATATTTTACACGAAAAAATAATAATTGGAGGCGCGGGGTATCGATCCCCGTACATCTCGCATACTAAGTGAGCACTCTACCATCTGAGCTACGTCCCCAATCCAAACCTTTATTATTGTAACTATGCTCGCCTTAACACCTGAACAAGATCGCTACAGTAACTAAGTCGATATTGGAATATAAATCGTTAAAACATGCATTGTCATCCAAACTAAACATGTATACAAAATCTCAGCTCAATCAGTGGAAGACATCAGCTTCAAAATTGAGTTGCAATATTCCACCCGAACATTTTGCATTGCAAGTTAAATATAAAAGCTTGTAAAAAAGAATAAAACTTAAAAAAAAAAAAAAAAAAGATGAAGATTATTAAAAATTTTTTGAAAAATTATAAAGAAAATGCTCTATGGCAGCGTTTCTTAAACTGTGGAACCACTCCAAAGAGGGCGTGTTTACTCCATGAGGGGGGGCGAGCATTTTGAAAAGTCGTAAGCGAAAGATTATTTTTAAAATAAATATTAATTTACTGAAAGTAAAAAAACGAAACACATTTTGGCATAATAAAAAATAAAATACACATTCACATTGATATAATACACTGATAAATGTATCAGTACTGCACACAGTGTGTTTTATAGTTAATTCAATAATACTAAATTAAGAATAACATTGATAACTACCAATGACCCCATGGGATTGTCATACATTAAATTATATAAAAAAATTAATACTTATTTTGAAAATTTATACGGTTTATAATTATTCCCTTAACTGCTGAATTAAAGTTAAGCGATTCGCTCCCTAATACCCCTATTTTCCACTTCGTCGCGCTTATGCGATGTATTGAGGAAGGGAAAGAGAAAATGAATTAAAAAAATAAGCAAATCCTCTGATATAAGTAGATCTTTCGTAAACACTGTTAAGGTCATTTTATTGCATTCCTAAGTCTTCCGAATATTTTTATGGATAGCAGTGCACAGAAAATATCGTACTGCAAAAAGACGTATATATATGTCCGGGGCAATAAACGCTTTGGCTGAGGGAGACGTTTATATACGCCGATGGCATTTAAGAGATTAAAATAGTATTCCAGCTTTAGGTTCAAAGTGTATATTAAAATTAAATATATTGTTGTTATAATAAATTATATATATTGTTGAGAGGGCGGGGGCGATGTAAATTATGGTTGAATATTGGGTCGCAAATATCGAAACTTTCAGATGCACAGCTCTATAGTTAATGCTTTTGATCCAGTAATATTTATAATTCTTAGTCAACCTTCGACATAATCACAATCTGGATCAAAACCCAATTTCTGGGTTTAAGTAACAATTGGATTCTTTTTTCACGAAATAGGTGATGTCAGGTTTTAAAAGACCTTGTATTTATTAAAAGCTTCACAATTTGTAGAAAATGTTTCTTTAATTTGAAAAGGAAATTATGAAATTCGATGTACTTTTCTCCTTTACTGCAAATTTTTAAAAACATGAAATTTGAGGATAGTAGAAGTAAATAATAATTTTTCAAGAAGAAGCATGTGAATGAAAATCTTTAATATTGGATCCAAAAGGCACAATTTATGCTTTAGTTTATGGAAACTATTTTTTTCTGGTATATTTTCTTAAGCCAATAAGAAAGATGATAAAAATGTACTTATACATTTATTTATATTTTAAGGCTATCAATGAAATACAAACTGTAAAATTGGACTATTAAATAAAATCTATCTGACATCTATCCATCCATCCTATCTAGTGTAAGTATATTTGTCGAAATATAATATCTAGAATTTTTTTTAAATCTATATTCTCTTAAAAATAAAAAAAACAAAAAAACATTGGCAATTAATTCCTGTATGAAATATTTTATGCATTTTATTTTGCAATAATTTTCTTGTTTTATACGATTCGCCAAGGAACATTTCTATTGTAAAATTAATACCCATTAAACTTCTCTGGGTAATGCTTGCAATGGATGATGTAGTCCACCTAGTAAGCAGGAATCAGTTTGTCACAATATATTTGATAAGTGAGAAAATCCCAAATATATATGTATCTATCTATCTATCTATCTATCTATCTATCTATCTATCTATATATATATATATATATATATTGGAAAATATTTTATCAGTTTGAGTCTCTAATCGAAAATAAAATACTAAATTTTTGTTTGCTGCGATGATATTGACAACTTACTATCTATTGATAGTATGGCTCAAAAATAATACTTTATGTAAGAAGTTAGTAATTTTCCCTTTATCAATAAAAAAATGGCAACGTATTTATTATAAAATATTGAAAAACTTAATACGCATAACCGAAAAGCAAATATCAGATATTTCGTGAAAAAAGATCGCAACTGTATTCAAAATTCATGGAATAATACAGTTACGTAAATCGGGGTTCATTGATTTTTTGCATAAAGATCAAGACCGATCTTCCGGAGCAATAGAAAATTATTGTTGAAAAACAATACACGAAATACAGGATACAGTATTTAAATTCTCTGAGTGAGGTCTCAGAAGTTCTTTACACTTTGTACAATGATCAGCCATAATTAACAGTATCTAAAATAGAGGCACGTTTAAAGATTATTCACAAGCAATCGCTCATCCTATTCAACTGTCGAAGTATCACTAAAAACTGGTCGACTCTTAACGGTCGAATCAATATAAAAAAAATCGCTAGTTGAAACAATACTGACTCAGTTTCGGCGAACGACTCCTTATCTATAGTCTACACGGATTTTTCTCGAAAAACTCCACCTACGTCATGGATTGTAACATCAGTATATTTCTTTTGTAATTTCCAGGAAAATCCATGTGGTCACCAGGTTGGCAAAAATTGTCGCCAAGTTGCCAACACTGTTGCCAAGGTTTCTCCAAGTTTTCATTGAATCCCCATTATACAGTAAGGAACGGCGTTGCTTGCGAATATTACAATTTTAACATAAAATAAACACAACAGATAGTAATAATAATGGATTATACATGAGAATATAAATTATTTATACTATTTTAAGCATTCATTACACAAAATTCGTAACAATACATTAATTTACTTTTAAAATTGTAAATCTTCGCCTTATTTATTAATTCAATATTTTCATAACTTATTTATTCGTCTACCACTTTAGTATTCAATAATTCTTGAGAATGTTCTCATTCTTGCTATTGGTTAGGTTAGTTAGCTAGAAACTCCAAGGGTAAAGGAAAAGATTATTCATCAGCTAGCGAAGCTCCATTTGCATAATGCTAATGTGGTGCTAAAGAATTCGCTTCAACTTTTTCCTAACTTTTCTCTCACGACAACACGTTGCAATTACGCGAGCTGACGAAGTAGTTGGCTTCAGCGAAAGAAAAAAAATCGCACTGAAACTGCAAGAGGCTAGGTTAATTTTGGCTTTTTCTTTCTTCAATAAATCTCTTATACCTTCCTTTTTCGCCAATTGCTAAATTTTACTTTATTTTATTCTTTATTTTTCACACTTTAAAACTGAAGTAACATCTTGTTATTTTTCCATTATGTGTTACTACATACAAGTAACTGTAAATTAAATTTATCATTGCAATTGCAGATATATTTAGAATCAGTGCCACGAATTAGCATGCAAAAGTAGAGCTGTGAATCAGAATAACGTTATAAATACGCTCTTTATTATGGGTAAGAATAAGAAAGAAATATGGGGAAAGTTGGACGCCAAATATCTTTAGTAAAATATTTCAATAGTACATTTAAATGTATGGGGACAAACATGTAAGGAATTTAATATTTAGATTTACATTGAAGGCATTTACGGAAAATACAAAAGTTAGATATACACAAAAGTTAGCTAACGAGAACATAGGTTCATCTCAATGCTCATGGTTCGACAACAAGACCTCGACTCCCGGGTTTTAAGAATGTTCACTAGATGTCTCAATTATATATGAATTTGGAATTTGAAGGTTTCCTTCTAATACATGTGTTAAGTGACATAAGGAGTTGATTGATTGATTGAATATTAACGTCGCACTGTTCAGCTAGCTACACGAGGGCTTTGGGCGACGGACCACGTAATTTTGAACCATGGTAAAGTGACGTGGACGACACCTGAGCTGGTACCCCCTCTCCTAACTACCACACCACATCACTTCACATAGTGGGAGAATATACTTAAAGGTGTGAGTATTCGGAACAACGGCGATTGATTCAATGATATCAGGCACATCGTTTCTGCTGTGTTGCTATTTTTTGAGGATATACTGCGTTAGTCTGCTCTGAAGATATGACCGGAGCTATTCGTGTTAGCTTAATAAAATCGTGTAATCATCTGCACGCTATAGTGACAGACAGATAAAAACTGTATACATAGAAAGTGATTCCATAGAACGACAAAATGAACTGTTAAAATTAAGATTAATATCTACATCTTTTTGTGGTCACGTTAGCCTAGTGGTCAGAAAAGTACCATGAGTTCTGACCTTAGTGCAACTGAAGACCCACAGAGGGGCTGATGTGAATTAAGTCTGTCGAGCTTGCTTGGGGTGGTAGTTTGGACTAGGAGAGAAGCTCTGTTATAGTCCTCGCCACTTGACCGATATTCAAAACCTCGGGCTCACAGCTATTCGCTGATGGCCTGGCTACTGCAAAAATTGTCTTCCTCAACAACTCCCAAGCTGAAATTTCAGCCTTAAGTATTAACACACCAACTGACTGCTTACACACAATTCCCAACCGTACACACTTGCGAAGTTTATTTCATACGACTGGACTGCTGCATTACATTGGATCCAAAGCCATGTTGGAATATTAGATAACGAGAGAGCTTGCCGTAGAAGAGCTAAGAGCATGATAATCACATTGTTAGTTTATAAAAACAGTTAATGTTTTTACAATGTCCGTACTGTGATTTCGTTTTCGAGTCTTGAATATGGTTTGGACCCGATCCGTGGACGTTTAGTCATCTGCAGTAGGGAACACCTTAAATGTTAATGAGGAAGTGTTATAAATAAACAACTACAGATGACGATGGAGGTATAGGTTTTTGTGTTCGAGAGATATGCGTACCCACGAGATCGGGTCCAAATGATTTTTTTTCTATAAATGCTTTTAAA